TAGTTTTCACCTCTTCGGAACGTTGGACGCATTCCTAAGAATGTCAACTGATACTCCTGCCAAATTCCTATGCTTTAGTATGCAACGAAACCACTAGATTCAGCAAGTAAATCTACTGACATCAGTGCCTTCCTCTGCTGCGATTGTATGTGTTGTCAGTTATGGCCTGATAAAATGCTCCTGGAAAACGCTAACTTCATCAAGCAGAGTGAAGATAAACGCTATCACGTTTTAAATTTACCTCGCTTCTGGTGCTCTTGTCTTTCATTGGCCAGAACAGCGGCGGTAAACTGGATTCCTGATGTTCCACAAGTGGCTACTATCGTGGATGGCTTAGTGTAGTTTTCTTATGCGTCATTTGCAAACAACTGTGAATATAAATTTAAAATTCGACTATTCAAACGTTGTTCAACCGTTTTTTGACAAACACAAGCCTATTTCTTTCTAATATCTCTTTAGACTGGTTAGGCGTTTTGCTGGTTATCAGTGATAATGATTCCGTAGGTCCCAATGCATTTCTCGAGTTCACGTATGCGTACTAAATTTTCCGCGTCAGAACGTCTCATTCCCGTAGTCTAACATACTGTGTTTCTTGCGGATAAACTATGATTAGTTTTGACGACAATGAGTACAAATTAACTAAGACCTTGCTGGAATCTCATCTCAGATAGTCGTTGCGAGCAGATGCAGCACAGATGTAACTGAAATGTTTTTGACATTATGCAAATGGACCTTTCCGCTGCCGGGAGGAAGATAAGAATGCGTGGTAGAACTTTAAATAAGCGAGTATTTCCTAAACTGCCAACATTGTGGACATTTTGCATTCACTGCGTTCCCGTTCAGGAGGGAAATTGCTGAATGAGAAAAATATCATCGTAGCGAGAAACTTCCATGGAATTTTAATATGGTGCATAAGTTTCTCTCGAACATTTTTGTCCCTCAGACTACTTACAAAGTATTGTCAAGGGTATCCTCGTAGTGCGATTCAATGACACAATTACTGGCAGTTAATGACATTTTTTGCACTATTAATGTGCTCCACATTTTCAAAAGAAGTGTAAGCTATGATAATGAATTTATTTAATGCTTAAGTCATATATGATCATGCATGTCGACTGTGTTAATGGTTAATTTATGTGATTGAATTTAATCTGTATCACTTTCAAAAACGTCGAGTCGTATTGAGGTCTGTCAGTTAATTAAATTCAGCCGTAAGCAGATGTATTCGAATTCGGACAATAATATTCGAAATACACTAACGAGTGTTTTACGACTTATGACCAGATACACCTGCATAACCAGTTGTAGGAATCGATTCCACATCCATCAACAGGGGAAGGTGAGTTCACTTATCACCTTGCAGATATTTTATGCTCCAGTTAGTCATGCCCTATAGCTTCCGTTGTGGGCATTCAGCCCTGCTTGCTTGAATTGTGGAAGTTTTAAATGTGACACAATTTGGATACTGGGCAGTTTCCGTGAAATGATGGGGGATACTTCGTAAACAAAGGCTTTCATCTTGGACTATGCTCAGCCTACATATATGTGAATGAACCTGTCTGCGTTGCAGTGAAATAAAATTTTCTATCTAATATTCTTGTGTTCTATTTGATCTGCATGCGGTGGGAGCATGGCATGCCGGACCGGTAATCTCTAGAATATGAACTCGTTAGTATACTTAAATGTAATTCTGTGCGAATAATACCGATCAGTATAAGTGGTTAGTTATAAGTAATTCAGTCAAGCCTAGACAGATATCTGCCTAAAGTTACGTGATTACATGTCCAAGCCATGGGTGAATCTGTAGAGACCAATTGCAAAATAACCTAACCTCTGTATCTGAAAAATGAGAACAGAAATTAGGCACTGCAGTGAAGTTCAATTTCGTAAAGCGTGATTTCAATCCATATGATTACGGGTGTAAGCGTTTAATGCAAAATGAAGTCTTCATGAGACGAATAATTGAGCAGATGGAGCTGCAACAATCGTAGCAGTATTTCGCTTACATTGAATTATGTTACTAATTACATTCGCGGGTCTCATTGATCAGTCAGGCCTCCATCTCGTCATGATGACAAATTTAGCTTCACTCAGATAGAATAAGAAAAGTATGGTAAGCAGGATGTTAAATATATTTGATGAAAAATAATAACAAGTAAATGTCTTTGCACAATTGTTTTCCGTAATTATTTCGGCGATGTCGAATTGCTGTGACCAGGTTGATTGACGTTTCCGGACATCTGCCAATAAGTGAATAAAGTGTACTTTTTAAATCGCTGAAGTTAGAGAAAAGTAATGTAAAAGTTAAACGCTTTATATTTGCCTACCTTTGCAGAAAAAGGCTCATTCTCCTTTCTCATTCTTTGGTCATGACAGCATTCTTCTGTGGTTTTCACTGTCACACGCATTGTTCATCTTCTAAAGTATAGCACCAAGCAAATAATAATAATTTAATATGTCGTATTAACGGGCGTTCACAAGGAATGCATGCCATTTCTGCAGGTGCAATAATCTTTGTTATAAATTGTAAATATCATACTTTTTCAAAAGATCAAATTGCTCATTTACTGTACAAGAAGTTAGAACAGGTTATCATGCATGTTAAATTGCAGACGCCATAGTAACCCCCATCCATAAAGGAGGATCAAGACAAAGCCCTTCAAATTACAGGCCTATCAGTCTCACCAGCACTTTAATTAAGACACTGGAGAGAATCATCAAGAAAAGCATAATGGCATATCTAGAAAATAGAAGCTTATTATCAAGAGCACAGCATGGCTTCCGAAGGAACCTCTCATGCCTGTCAAATCTTCTCACTGCAAGAGAAAGCTGGGTCAAATGCAGGGACAACAGAAGACTCGTTGACGTCGTCTTCATAGACTTCAGCAAAGCCTTTGATAAATTACCTCACAAAAGACTACTCATGAAGTTAGAAAGTCTTGGTATAAAAGGCAGCTTACTAAACTGGCTCGGGGAATTCCTCATAGATAGGAGGCAGAGGGTTAGGATCAACTCGAAACTCTCCTCCTGGACAGCACTACGCAGCGAAGTGCCACAAGGCACGGTACTTGGACCTCTCCTATTTATTTTGTATATCAATGAGTTATCTCTGCTCACCGATTCCCCTATGGTCCTATATGCAGATGACTTGAAAATTTGGAGGGAGCTGAAGGGCAACAGTGACACGTCCACGTTGCAAGAGGACCTCAACAAATTGTCAGAGTGGTTCATAGAATGGATGCTCCCGATAAACGTGACAAAATGTGCAACCATGCGCATTGGACAAGCAAGCACGAGCTCTTATGAACTAGAGGGAATTACACTTCCATCAGTTCAGACTTACTTGGACTTAGGTGTCATAGTTAGCCACGACTTAAAAACTACAGCACGCTGTCGCGCGGTGGCTGCACGTAGTTTCAGGTCATTATGGGCAATTAGTAGAGCCTTCACTAGAATCACCAGAGATATGTTCACCTCCTTATATACATCTCTGGTGAGGTCAAGACTGGGAAACTGCATCCAGGCCGCCAGCCCTTGTCTAAAAGGGGACTCACACATTCTAGAAAGGGTTCAAAGGAATGTAACACGTATGGTTCTCGGAATGACTAATTTATCATACGAGGAAAGAATAGACAGTTTAAATCTCTTCTCCTTGTCATACCGTAGGCAGAGAGGAGATATAATCACAATGTTTAAAATTTTAAATAATGACTAGTAACCTGACCTATTCTCTCTTTTCGTTCCCACCAGGTCGGAACACCTTAGAGGACATAGCAGGAGAGTTCAAAAGCCAAGAAGACATCATATTGCTGTTGAGTACTGGTTCTCACACCGAGTCGTAAACTCTTGGAACCGACGCCCAGAAGAAGTGGTGTCTGCAACCTCCACTGATTCGTTCAAAAAGGGTTTGGACAACCACAGAAATTTACTAGAAAAGGATTAACATAGGCTCCAAGCCTTCTATCCTCAACCAATAAATCTGAATCTGAAATCTGAATTGCGAACCCTTCACTAAGATCACCATCAAAGACGAGCGACAATCCATCGTATGATTTCTTCGATGTGTTATGGAAGATTTCACTCATCACGTATGAAAATAAAAATGCGTTGGCTCCTCAGAACATACATCTAACTTATGTCTATGGGCTCATTCTCTTTCAATTGCTTGATTCTCATAGATTAACTGCTACGAGAACAATCAATGTCTGTACTCAATTAACAAACTAAAATCTGAAACAGCTAGCAAATAACAAAGCTTTAAGGCCCTCAGACGAAAATAATAGTCATTTCTATGCACAATTTCTCTAAATGCATGTGTATTTTTGTAATAATTCGTCTGGGATATCAAGGCAATATCACGCGTTAATACGACCACAATACAGGAAAATTTTGCTTTCTTCGGCCACAGAAGCCTAAAACTGCTTAATTATACCCATGTTTTGCAAAAGTAAACGCTTATAACACCTCAATAGATATGAACACGATAACCCATACAATGCGCGAAAATACATCGCGATAGCCCCAATCCTCACCCTGACAGCTTTATAGAATCTGAAATTACCGCGACTCAGACAACAAACTGACCAATCACAAGCGAAAATTAGCTTGTTTATCTGTTCCTCGGGCACACGAGATTAGGGCTAACGACCGGCTGCTTCAGTCGACCGTTTGGTGTCTGGCGGCGTGTTCTTAACTGCAGTTCAATTATTTGTGTTGGTCTTCGCTTTGCCGTAGCATAGGTGAGTACTTTAGCGTGTATTTATCGTTTTTCGATGTGATTAACAAGTCTCTCAGAACTAATTGATAATGTGTCTACATATAAGCAAGCATTTATTGGTGAATATCTTGAACTCTACATCAGTGTCATATGTCCAGGTTTATGAATGATAACTTCACAACATTATTTTTTAGTGGTCCTTTGGCATCACTGTTTATATTTGTCAGATACCCTTAATTTGAGTTGCAAATTCACTAGAAGCATCTATCATTTCTTTTTCTAGATTCTGGTGGCCTCTGAATTTCTTCCGAAGGTACTTTTTACATCACAGTTGTTCACGTTATACAAACCGCGGAACGGCAATGAATTTCGGTGGGTTACCTATACGTTTTCACTTTCATTCAAAGATAGTCATATTCGTGTTTCCTTTTCGACTGTTCCCGGTTCTCATAAGTTCGTGAAATTAAGCGAGGAGGTCAAAATGTAACCTTGTTTGCTTGACACAGTATTAAAGTCTTTTAGGGGCTGACGGTATCGACGTTCGCGAGTTGTACGGATTATACTAACGCAAGATCTTATACCAACAACCACTATAGTGTTCGTTCTTCGAGTACCAAATGGTAAAGCAAAAGACCAGATTTTGTCGTCCAAATACGATATATATTTTGGGACCAAATCGCGGGTAGGAATGAATGCTTAGCTAGCTAGTAATCGTGCACGCACGTGACACGACGGAGCACCAAATGGCGGGGATGCTTGACCGTAAGCCTTCAGCTAAACAAGTCGACTTAAACAGTGATGGTCAGCATCCAATGTTGAGTGATGATTGCTGTGGTTAATAATTTTGGGGAATTATTTACCGCTACAGCTCACTCCCCCCCTAGTGGGGTTGTGAAGACCCTAAGACATGACCAGCCGGAAGTAAAAAAATCTCGATGGTTCCCTGATGGGTGAAAAAAAATCTTCCAAGCGGCTTGATGGAGAGCCTGCTGGTCTGTCTGCCTATGCTAACAGGGTGTCTGTACATAGCTTCCTCGCATTGTTCGTTGGATCCCGTGCTTCGTTTGTTTCCGGTCCAGTGCCCGTTGCACCTGGAAAAGAAAACAAGAATGCTGAGAACCTTGTCAAGAAAAATGTACCAAATAAGCGTTTTTTTTACCAAAAAAATATGACATGCATCTACTATACAGTAAAATAATGTAAAGTGCAAAATATCGGGAAAAAAATATACATCTTATATAATTTTATGTACGGTTATAGGAAAAATATCATTTACTTGTGTTAAATGACGCAACATAAAAAAAATTGATGTGTCACTCAGTTATGTAAGATAGGTGTGAAGGTATTCTGGGAATCTAACGTGACGTCCAGAACGCGTTTTTTTAGAGTGATCGACCGAAGGTTCAGTGGCTTTCGCCGTGCTAGGGAGTTCTTCGAAGACTGAAGTAGATTCAATTACTTGTGAATTATCGGGTACGTTTAGCTCGAGGCTAATGGGATTACCTTCCAAGTAAGCTGGTTTCAGACGGTCGATACTGACGGTGTCTTCGCGGCCTTTTTTGTCTAAAACGAAGAATTTATCAGTACGTTTAATCACTTTATATGGTCCGTCATATGGGGGTTCTAGAGGACGACGTACAGAGTCGCGACGAACAAATACATGTGAAGAAGTTTTTAAACAAGGGTGAACGAAAACATCAATGGACTGTGGTCGGAGGGGAGCAGGTTTAACTGAACGCATAGCGTTTGTAAGCCTGCTGACGTATGAGGAGTGATCTACCACTGGTGGGAAGCTCGAGGGAGAAACAAACTTACCTGGCAGTCGTAGTGTTGTGCCATATACTAGCTCAGAGGTAGTACAACCAGCATCGGTTTTTAAGGTGTTTCGTATCCCTAGGAGAACTAACGGAAGGGATTCAGTCCAGTGGGTGTTATTTGCAGCTGATAAACCAGCTTTCAACTGTCTGTGTAGACGTTCTACCATACCATTCGCTTGAGGATGGTAGGCTGTCGTTCGAAAACGCATGCAACCAAGGATTTTAGTCAAAGCGAAGAATAAACCGCTTTCGAATTGCCGCCCACGATCAGTTGTTATGGAAGATGGGCATCCAAAGTTTGCGATCCATCTCTCTACAAAGACGCGTGCGACAGTTTCAGCAGATATATCCTTGATGGGTACTGCTTCAGGCCATCGTGTGAAGCGATCGATGCAGGTTAACATATAGGTGTATCCATGAGATTCTGGAAGGGGGCCAACTAAATCTATATGGACGTGTTCGAAACGGGCATCAGGGATAAGAAAAGTGCCAAGGGGGCTTTTAGTGTGTCGTATTACCTTGCACTTTTGGCAAGCTAAACACGTCTGTGCCCATTCCCTTACTTCTTTGTTAATACCAGGCCAACAAAACCGACTAGTTACGAGCTTGACAGTAGTTCGAATACCTGGATGGGATAAGCCATGCAACGTATTGAAGACGTTACGGCGATAACTTTTAGGCACGATGGGGCGAGGAGTACTAGTGGAAATGTCACACAGAATAGTATCCTTTCCTATACCTAAGGGTTTCTTGGCTAGTTGTAGAGTTGTTTTCGACAACTCACGCTGAAGCTCAATATCTTCTTTTTGAAGACGAGCCAGTTTTACAAGGTCTATGCCATCGATTTCGGTGAAAGAACAAATACGTGACAAGGCATCTGCCACAGTGTTGTTCACTCCGGAAACATGGCGAATATCTGATGTAAACTGTGAAACGTAATCTAGTTGTCGCGATTCCCTGGGTGAATACTTATCTGAAGTTGAGTTCAGAGAGTACGTCAGAGGTTTGTCGTCAGTGAAAATGATGAATTCACGACCCTCAACTGAATGTCGAAAATGACGTATAGCACAGTACATAGCTAGAAGTTCCCTTCCGAATGTGCTGCACTTCGTTTCAGCTACTTGAAGGCGCCTCGAGAAAAAGGCGAGTGGTTGCCACTCGTTGTTAACTAGTTGTTGCAGAACTGCGCCGATTGCAGTGTCTGATGCATCAACCGAGATACTCAACGGTGCCGTTGGATCCTGATACATAAGAAGGGTGGCATCCGCAATAGCTTTCTTTACCTGAGTAAAAGCATGTCGAGCAGACGTGTCGAGTTCGATAGCCTTGTCCAAGTGTCCAAGGTGAGTTTCCTTATCTGGACTGGCAATGAGGCAGTCGTCTAAGTATGCGTATACAAAGTCGAGACCGCGAAATACTTCGTTGATGAAGCGTTGGAATGTTTGGGCCGCATTCCGGAGGCCGAAAGGCATACGTAGAAATTCGAAAAGTCCGAGAGGCGTAATGATAGCCGTTTTCGGGATATCTTCCGTTGCCATCGGGATTTGGTTATATGCTTTAACCAAGTCGATTTTGGAGAATATAGATGCTCCAGATAATGTTGCCGTCAAGTCGTGTATGTGAGACAAAGGGTAGCAATCAGGGGTTGTTTTGGCGTTCACTCGCCGGTAATCGCCAGTGAGTCGCCAATCGTTGCTATCCTTTTTCGGTACCATATGCAACGGGGATGCCCATGGACTATTCGATGGCCGAATGATGCCAAGGGTGAGCATATGATCGAATTCGTTTCTGGCAATTCTCAGTTTGTCAGGGGCCAGTCGTCGTGCTTTAGATGTCACGGGCTGTCCTGAGGTTATGATGTGGTGCATAACATTGCTGGTTATACACGGGAGATCGTTAGATGGGCAATTCAGTTCCGGATATTTGTCAACAATCGGTTGAAAAGTTGGATCGGGGATTGCTTTCATCTTAACGATTGACAAGCTTGGGCCTACGTAAGTTATGCCTTTGATAGACAAACTAGTAGTGTTGTCAATTAGTCGTTTACGGCGGACGTCTACGAGCAAATCATGATGATTAAGTAGGTCCGTGCCGATGATGGGCATTGTGACGTCAGCGATTAGGAAAATCCACTGAATAGGTTTGCGTAAACCTACGTTCAGATAGACGTATTTCCGACCATAGGTTGCAATTGGTTTTCCATTTGCAGCCTGTAGGTTGAAGTTAGGATCCTTCTGTCGATCTGCTGCTGTAGCAGGAAGGACGCTGACTTCGGCGCCTGTGTCGACTAGATATCTAGTCTGGCTAATTACATCATGGATGTAAAGTAAGCGGCTAGTGCCACCGGCGACGGTTGCCGCTAACGCGTGCCGGCGGGATAGTTTCCCACAGACTTGGAGGCTTTGCCGAAATCACAAGGTTTTCGACAACATTTCGCTTCCTTGCCATAGGTGTTGTGATACCAACACCAGTCAGGATTTTTGTGAGAGCGTGTGTTGGACTTAGATCGTCCACGTACGTTTTGCCGTTGAGGGGATCTAGAACGACGGTTTGAAGAATTACTAGGCTTGTTTGACCTAAGCATCTGCTGGACAGAGTTGATTAACTCTATCATTGCAGAATCCTTCCTCGAAGTCTGTTCGGTAACTGAGTATACTTCGGTAACTAGCCGTTTCGTTATCTCTAGAATTCTATCTGCAGAGACAGCTAAATCATCTATGAGAACACTTTGAAGTGTCACAAGTACAGTCTGGACTGACTGTGGCAGTTTGGATAAAAATAGTTCTCTGAACAGTCCTTCATCGAACTGACTTTGGCCAATGATCTCTTTCATTCTTGCCAGCATGCTCACGACTGACTGATCTCCTAACTCGATGTTACGAAATAACTCATCCAGACGTTGTCGATCTGTGAGAACGTTTCTCTTCAGGATGGACGCTTTGAGCAACTCGTACGAGTTACTTACCGACATCTGCAGAGTTACGCACCTGCTGAATTCCCGCGGTAGGGCGTGAATAACTGCAAGGAACTGTGAACGTTGATCAGTTATGCCATGTTCACAAAAATCAGACTCAGCAATCTGAAACCACGTTTCAGCATTATCTGGCCAATATGGTACTAGCTGGATTGTTTTGGCGGTTGAACGAATCCGAATAACTTTGGGGCTAGGATCACTCATGACGAAACGTATGCCGATAACAATATAGTACAAGAATAAACACAAAAAGGAACGAACTCACCGGGTTTATCTGCGTGTGAATTGAAGATGTAGTTCGTGGTTGGGCTCACCAGTTTAGAGACTGCAGGTATCGACGTTCGCGAGTTGTACGGATATACTAACGCAAGATCTTATACCAACAACCACTATAGTGTTCGTTCTTCGAGTACCAAATGGTAAAGCAAAAGACCAGATTTTGTCGTCCAAATACGATATATATTTTGGGACCAAATCGCGGGTAGGAATGAATGCTTAGCTAGCTAGTAATCGTGCACGCACGTGACACGACGGAGCACCAAATGGCGGGGATGCTTGACCGTAAGCCTTCAGCTAAACAAGTCGACTTAAACAGTGATGGTCAGCATCCAATGTTGAGTGATGATTGCTGTGGTTAATAATTTTGGGGAATTATTTACCGCTACAGGCTACAGTGTTCTCATTATTGTTACTAATCATGGGAGTTACGCGTCTCCTGAAATCTCCGATTTTATCCTCTCACGTTTCTGTGACTGTTGTAAATCCCAGCATTTTTAGATTTAGGTAGGTTGTTCCTGAACATATCCAGTGTGATTGTTCCGAAAACTTCATTCTTTGTCCAAATGCTGGTATTTACACTATTGTATTAGTCATCTGCCCAAGTATTTATCATGGAAGCTTCAAAAAGGGAAACTCCCATGATTTTCTTCGAGTGAGAAAATATTGCCGTGTGGATGGATTCATGACTATTTGTTGTAAGATTGTGTGGTAGAAATAAATGTTTCCATCCTACCTAAATGGCTGCTGGGTTTTAGTTAGTTTCGTATGAATTAGTTTATTAATTGGTCTCAGGTGAGAAAATTACTGCATGACACCGCAGTACATAAAGACTGTCCGGCATGTGATTTAATCTCAGCATAACACTAAGCTTATCGAACAACGTAGTCTAAAGAGAAAGGCGATGGGATATTAACATCCGCTTCATATTTTTTTATAGATCTCGCCATTTCTACTCACTACTACATTTGTTGCATTTTCTTCTGATACAACTTGAATAGATCTACTCATTCAGTTTTGTAGAAATTGGTTCTGCCAGTCCTGACGTAACAAAGTATATATATATATATGCACCAAGTTACATAAACGAAAGATGAATCTCTAGATTAACAAATGTTCGGCATTAAGGTTCCTATTTATTCATATACAGGGCTGTGATGTTTAAAAATTATCTCCCGGCTTCACTGCAGAGGATAATTGGTAATACCAGATGAGATTCTGTAGGCTAAACATTTCTCAAGTCTTAATCTTGTGAATATACTGTGAGTAAAATTTCGTTCCCACTTGAAATGATTTCGGTAATTCTTATTTAATTTAGTGAAGGAAATTGTTAGTTGGCATGATCCCATCAAATCAGGAATAGTCGCGGCTGTTGGGTTGACATCCCTTCTGAGTCTGTCTTGTATGTCCCTAATATCTTTTATCGCCTACGCCGGGATGTCGTTAATATGCTGCACTGCTGCTTGGAAGTTTTATAATGTTATTACTCTTCCGTTCAAATCAAATTCATCTAAAGATCCATTTCAGTAAGTTTGATTCTGATGAAATTTTATCTCTTATATCTCTGGTTGTCCAATTATTTCTGTCGGAACACTATTACCTATGCAAGTATGTAAGCGACAATACATCCCAGCCTATTAAACACTACTATCGTACTAAATGAAGTTGTTTCATTACTGGTAAGCCACATCTCACTTTTTCTGGCTCAAACATATAAGGTGAAATCAAACAAGTCTCTTCAAAGTTGATCAGATACAATGTTTTCATTCATTGAGTTTAAAAATTAAGGGTGTTAATTTCTAGTGAAAAAAAGTCCACCAGAGAAATGTTATACTTTTTAGCATTTGAAGTTGAGATATCTTCGGTAAACAAATGATTGTTTAGTAAAGATTGTAGCTCGTTGGCTTGTGCACTCAACTTTCAGTCAATGGGTCCCGGATAGGAATCCCGTTGAATTTATTTAAGCCTAGACAACTCGGTTGTATTACTAGTTCTCACACAGTATGTAGCTTACAGTTTGGTACATAATTCTGTTGCAAGTAATGGAGTGCTAAATGTATCAAAATAGAATTCCTTGATTTGAATTAGTAGATATATACTATCAGTGTGTAACATTCGATTTTACTTACTATAAATCTACTTACGATAATTGTTGTTATATTAGAACTAACAGGATGTGAATGTCTATTTGCGTACCTGTCATTTTGTTCTTCTGCGAAATGTATAATACAGTAGCCGATGCAATATTCCCTACCATTAAGAAAATTCCAGTAATTTAGTACATTCCCTCACATTGTAGTTTTTCTATCTCTGTGTGACAGTTTTTCTTTCTATATTATCTGCTCTTTTAGATATTGGCTTGAATTGAAAATCACTTTGCCAGAAGAAAAGATTGCCGAGCGTGTCCCAGCTCTGTGTGAAAAGTTGTCCGAAAATTTGAATTATTTACGTCGCGTTATTTGGTTGCAAGACTACTTTGAGACTGCTAAGGTAAATGTAACAACAATACTTCAGCAATTACCAATAATAATTGCCACTTTTCCTTTAGTAATTTAAGGAAGATAACCAAAATATGACATGCTAATTGTAGATTCATCTGTTAACTCCGTAATAATATCTCTTGTAAAAGAGTTGACAGGATAGTCTTTTTACCATCTGATAAGATGTAAGTGCCTAGAGCTTCTTATGAAGCAATTTGTTTGATGCATTGGCGTCAGCCAGCTATTTAATGCAGAATATTTTTGTTAAAAAAAGTTTCTCACGTATTTCAGCTTGAACAATTGAGTAATATCTCTAACCGTCAAAGAATAAGCGTAACTCACATCTAGATAACTGTTCTAACTGATGAGAAGAAGTTTTCTACTTAAAAAGAGTTATTTGTCATCTTCCCTATTGTCAAGAAATACCTTATCTACATTGTCTTATTAATTTCACTTATGTTAACTTGCAAATTTTCTTACTCTTATCTGTTTATCATTGCTACTTTCCAGTTCGTTGTGTGTTTATACCTACTTTCGGTAGTAGGTTCTTGGTTTAATTTGCTCACCGTGGTAACCATCGGTAAGTCTAGTGTTATCTGGTGTGTGAATTCAACCACCGCTTCATATATATATGTATATATATGCATGAATAGCATGATGGATGATCAATAGTTTAAATATACCATTGATGAAGTAATTAGTGAGTGTTTATGTGGGTAAAGTTTTCCATTGATTGTTGTTACATGATCCGCCTTAATGGATCGACGTCCAGGCGTCTGACATGGTTGCCAATAACCAAAACGCCATTCACTGCCTTCGAATCTAGGGAATCATGTTCACCATAGGTTTCATGTGAGGGTTTTCTCCACGTAGTCACTATGTCAATCGGTCTGTTGATCATAAGTTCAGGAAATCCGCCCTTTCACTTTCTTGAGAACAAACTTCACCGTCTGCAGTACAGTGACGAACTTAAGCGTTATTCAGCAGCTAAGTTATAAGAGAAACGAAGAGCGTGGAGGAATCGAGACACTTCAATGTCTCGCAAAGAAGCAGCCGATAACTTTATCGTTGACATTACAAAATGTTTTCCTAAGTTTAGTTTAAAATACAATATCCACTACTATTCATCATTAAGGAAACCTCAGTCATTGCGGTTTCTTAATATTTTTGACCTGCTTTAACTTCTGGCCACCAGTTAGTTAGTCAGTTTCACAGAGAACTGCTGACTGACTGCATAAATATCAATTTATCACTTGATACCGGGCTTTATTTTAGTATGTTTCTTAACAATTAATTATGGTGATTATCGAAATGATAATATGCTCTACATAATGTGGTAGTTGCCTCATTATTCTATAGTAACTTCGTGCTAATGTTTCTGTAATGATCATTTTGTTTTTCAGCGTTTGTTCTCGGCATGACTTGTCCGAAACTATATTTATTATGCAAGGTAAGAAACGTTTGCTTCCCTTTAGGCATTATAATACTTACGTAATTTGATTTAATTCAGTTATTTCTTTATTTTCAAGTATTGGTTTGTAGGGATTCCGTTTGATTGGTTGGGGGATTTCATCTTGAGCATGACATCAGTTAGAGAACCATTGGAAAACCTAGGAGTACTGGACAGTTGTTTCGCCCTGGTTTGGGCCCCACAGCAGCACGCACCCACCGGGGTCCCAACCCAGGTCCTCCTGGTTACAAGGCCAGCGAGCTTGTAGACCATTAGGCAGCCACTAGGACCCGACCCAATGACCCTTAAATTCTAACTTCTGTCAATTCATGACATGGCGCGACCAATTCGCAATGTCTTCTTCGATGAGCTACTGCCTCACCTTCAACCTGCTGTACCCTGCTGGTCATGGCATCCCACTAGAATCCCAGGTAACTGCCTGAATAAGGCCAGTCGCTAGTAAGCAAAATGACGTCTTTTGGCTCACTGTTTATTGATCGGACCATTTAGTTGGTCGGTCTAAAAAGAACTGCGACGACGAGTCGTCGTAAACGATGAGGTCTCGTCCAGAGATGTATTTTGCATTTCTTCTACAACTTCATCTGTAATCAAAGTTTATTTATGTCTCAACTGATAGTTTTGTTCCTCGTGAATTAGTTTTATTTAATATTTCTAAATTTGTGATATGATAGTGAGACTGAATTCCGAGTGCCATTGTGAGTAGTGCTCGAGAGCCTGAAAGATTATTGCTTGAGTGTTGAGCTTGTCGTGTAATGTTGCATGTATCTGATGATTCCAGGTCTGTGTACTGATTAGCTTTTTTGTTTAAGCTCAAATATGCGGGATAGATTTTTCACTTAGCAGATTGATGATAGTAGCCAGTGAGTTATGCAGCACTCGAATCTGTGACCCATTAACTAGAAATCAAATGGTTAAACGATTGAACGACATCCCCACCATCTGTGTAATGGTGCATTCATACGATAGATATCTATTTAAAGTAATTTGAAATTAACTTATTAATTTCTCTTGTTCAGCCCCAGTTTGACGCGGCATTCCAAATGACTAAGAAGACAGTGGTCAGTATGCTTAAACTGTAAGTGTAAAAATCTCACCGAAGTCTTTTTTATTTTTTTTTTCATCAGTCTACCCTGAGTTATATACTATCTGCTTTGTCAAGCTTAATAAGACTGATAACTTCATCAGTCTTAACCACCTTGTATAATCTAACGGAAAATATGTCTTCGATTTGAAGAATGTTATTTATCAGTCTGATAGTGAACAAATCGATTGATTTGAGATTTTCTGGCTGAGTCATTTTACATGATAATATTTAAATCAAATAAAAGAGGACTAGTCCTACAACAAACATTATTATTATTATGATGATTGTGATTATTATTAGCAGTTTGTACTTATTTAACATTATATTCTTAGGAGGACATTTTCGATAAGTTGACAGCGTAGCAGGAGAAAGTGCCGTATATGTAATTCATTAACTGTTTGCACAAAATGTAAGTATAACAGGTGATTAGCACAAGGATACCTGCATACATTAGAAACATTCAGTATATTGGACCACGACAACCTTCCATATCGAAGTAAGATAACCGACATAGTTTCATGATCTCTACACTTTGTATTATCCGCTTCATATGATTATAAAATTTTAATATACTAAACAGCATAGTGATCTTTTATTATTTCAGCGCTGAAGCGAAACTACCGCGGCTTCGTAGGAGGTCTCACCTGTGATCAAGTCTACCTCACCAGGAGGAGATACCTTACATTATATGTACCATTTGCTTCCTTCCCTGATCTTCTGTTCATATTTCGGAACCGTTGAGCACTCATCATGTCAGGTAGACTGTGTTGACATTAAAATGGCCGTTTATCAACGAATGTTTCATGACACTTCCGCCTCTTCTTCTCCGTCTTCGCTTTCTTCTTCTTCTCCTTCGTCTTCTTCTTTTGCTCCTCCTCTTCACATGTATTCCCTTTTGATGAGAGAGATATGTAAAATTGTGTTCAATAAAGCGATAGCAATTGCCATGGAGTATTGCCTTCTGATGCGTCTTTCTAGTGTTATGAGTTGTGACCGTTGATTGTTGAAATAGGGAGGAATTCAGTGGGAGTGTTTCTGTGGGTGATTCGCATACTTCGATGTTAGTGTGATGAAAGGAAGATGTTTGAAATGATTCCACTTGGAGAGTGCTATTAGGTGGTAGACTGACTTGTACCCTGAGGATCGTGAACCTCGGAATTCGTAATTTTTGCCTGCGTTGTCAGTGTTAGGCTAATGACAGTAAGTAGATGGTGATTTCACTCTGAATGCGTTTCACAGCGAACCTCGGACAAATGTATGCATAGTTTTCCTCTTTATTTCGCAAATGATACTGCACAGTCTACTAGCAAATAATGAATATTCCCATAGTAAAATTTAGAACAACACATTCAAGCGAATAATATTGTTTTCAATTAGATGTCATCAGGCTCAACTCTAATATACATAACTTTACAAATAAAAATTCAAATATAAACTCATCATGGTGTTTTGTCTGTGGGGTAATAAGATAGCGAATATAAATTGTGTAAT